ATGGATTTTTAATATTGTTCGGTGTATCAAAACTACTATGACTGCACAGTGACAGATGTTCATAAAACTAAAATGACTTTCCGAACGGTAAACGACTTTTTTTTGTAAAAGAGAGAAACAAAAATGTATAAGTTAACTAATTTCAAAGTTGTGTATCAATTTATATTTGTTTCATGTGTTAAAAATGTTTTCGGCAAAAAACCGTATGCCATCCCCTTCCCACTTGAAACCTACTCGCACCGGCCCTACTTTCAAAGATGTTATGGAACAAATCTCCAGCGATGATTACTGAACTACAATTGAAAGACGTACAACCGTTCTTAATCGAGAAATAGATGACATCATGTTTTCCTAATTTGTCTATACTCTAAAAAATCTACTTGGTTTTTTCTTTTACATCTGCTTAAAGAAGTTTTAGTAGACTAAAGATCAAAAGTTATATGTGATCAACAAAGAAAAATCGATATCTTTTTGAATTGACAATAATTTTTATTAAATGTGAGCTTGCTGACAGCATTAACTTTAAACTATCGTTAAGTTATTTTGCTTCCACCTAGTAGGCACAGAAGTCCTTAAGACGTCCATGCAACAGTAGACGTCGCAAGTTAGTACAATGTTCTTAAGACGTCAAACGAACGTTCTGTACCCGTCGGAAATTATATCTTGCAGAAAAAATGTGTAGAAATTAACAGGAAAGTAATTTTTTTTCTTAATGCATGCTCTCAGTAATAAATATAGTGTAATACAGTAATAAAAATAGTGTAAATATGCTTTTAATAACCAAACCATTGCAATATCTTTAACTGTTTTCTTTTTTTTAACGATGATTGTTAACCAAAGGAAACTTTGCAAACTCAAACTTAAGATTTTGTGTTATGGACGAACTTAATAGTTAGGATAAAATCCCATAAAAGTATCATTATAATATATTTATCACAAGTGCGGTTTTTGAAAAAAAATGTTTCTAGGGGTTAATGTGTCACCCCTAACCCTTGTTACCCCGAACTCATTCCCCTTTCCCCCTCCCCACGACGCTAAACCTCAATCCGCCACTGTCCGATTTTATTTTTTTTTCACACCCTTCCTTATAATGTAGAAATATAAACCGTTATTAAAATAATCTTGATTAAAATATATCATTTTAAAAAAAAAATCATATATAGTTTTTTAAATATATTTTGGCGTTAAAAAATATTACAGTAACCAGATACATTTTACAATTTTTTACATTAGCAACAACAGGACTTCTAGAAGATCACGAGGATCTTATCATGTAGGCCTTCACAATATATGATCAATTTTTGTAAAAAATAAAATGTCTTTAATACACTTATATGCCAAAAATTAAAAAAAACTTAGATAAATTGTTAAATAAAACAATATATAAAAATAGTTAAAAATAAATTAATTAAAAATATAATTAATTTAAGTTTCTTTTTGAATGAAGCAAAAAATTCGTGAAAAGTTTTGTTAAACCATTTTGTTCCTCGGAAACAAAAAATATGTATTAGTCAAGATTTCAAAAAATAGGTATTGTCAATCACAAAATAAGGACCTAAATTATGGAATGAACTTTATAATAATGATTTTAAAACACTTTCTTCACTTAACAAATTTAAAACAAATTTAAGCAAAATTTTTTACTAAACGGAAATGAAGTTCTTCTAAGGCGTTTAAATAAGAGTGTTCTTTTAATGGATTTATAGAACACAATATTAATTTTGTGCAGTTGGATGGCCTATGTTTGTCAAAGTAAACCTATAAGAGGGCTACCTGTCTAAAACACGTTTCTAAACAGTTTATGTCTAATTCCATTGGGTAAAATTCAATTAATTTCTTGGTTGATTCATCATTAAATCGATAAGAAAAGGTAGTGAGAACTAGTTAAAAAAACATTAAAACAGCATTTTTTGCAAGAGAATGAGCCATCTAGTATCTAAAAGATACTAGATATTTGAGCCCCATTTTACTACTAAAAAAAAGAATTTTTCAACGGCCTGTTGATGCAGAGAAAAACTTATAAAGCAACTGTGTGATGTTGAAAAAATTAACATCCGCATCACAACAGTCTACTGCTTTACGACCATTTAATTTGTAGACAATACACAAATATACTAACACCCGATTAGTCAATGCTTCCTCTGAATGTCTACTTATTTCTAAAAATACTAGAAAACGTTCTGTTGACTGACCATTCTTAATGTACCGGACAACAACAGATAACTGATCCACATGTGACACATCTGGTGTTGAATCGACATTAAGACTGAAGTAGCCAGAGAAATCAACTTTATAGACAATGCTTGAATCAACCGTTTTAGCCATTAGCTTAATAAGTTCCTCACAAATTCTCTTTAAAATATAGAAAAGGTTTCCTTTGCTAAAACTACCATATTTAGAAATATAACCGGCTTAAAATAGGTCGAATTGGTTTATAAATTCCAAAATAAAATTTTATTTTTGAAAAATCAAACTTCTCTTTACTACCACAAGAGGCAAGTTCAAGTTCAGCCAAATGTTAAATACTCACACTACTCCTTTATTTGAATATCAAATGCTTGCTGTAATCCTTGACCTTGTCTGTTGAGGTATGAAAACCGTTTCCACCCTTAAAAAATTGAGTTTTAGAAAACTAATCTCAGTTTAAAAGTTTAGAAGCAAAGTAATATAAAGTCACTTTATTTATAATACAAAAACCTGGTAGTTGGCTTTTTTTTCAACAAAAATCTTCAGTGAGTATAATCTTTTCTGTTTTGCGTCCTTGAAAAAATAACAAGGTTTATCAAAAAATAAATTTTAAGATGCTGGCAGATATTTGCTTTAGTAGCAACCCATGAAGCTTTATCCGCCATAGATAATTAATCCTGTAGACCAGGATCATTTTTTGGTTGGTTGTATTCTCATTGATGATATGTTACTTTTCTTGATTTCAAAACCTTCGTTTTTTCTATCATTTTTCATTGCATCATTACTGAATAAAGACGTGTCTACATATAAAACCTCTAGATATTGTGTTTTCTTTTCATATCTACTCTTAATGTTGATGCCTCTGTTAAATTTCGATGTTGACCTCTGTTGCTGCTGCTTTGTTATAACATTAGCAGCAGGTTTTAAATACTTTGTTAACTTTGGTATTTTTTCTAAAACTTTGTTTTAATTTTCTAACCGTTCTATTTGTCTTTTTCTATTATCTGAGCCAATTGGTTGGCTGCGTTTCATTTTCTTTCCACATTTAGCTGAATTTCCATACTGGAAAATAACTGAACTAAAACTTTGGTGGTCATAATCAATGCCAGCAATAAATATACAATCCAGAATTCATTTTTTTTTTCTTTCTGACAGACAGTTCGTTTAAGGTCGGTAATAAGTGTGATGTAGATAAGACCTTACATAAATTACGTTACAACTTAGATTAAATGGTGAGGTTTAAAGCAATATTTAATACTTCATATAGTATTATATAAGATTTTGACCTATTTAGTGTAAAAGTAATAATAAAAGAAAAGAGTTCCACCTATATTTTTCCCCTTTTGATCTGCTACCCTAAGCTTGTGCTTATTTTGCCAATATTTTGCGAAAAATATAGTATCTTTAAAAACAAATTTTTACAAACAAAATTTTGATAAATTTTAAATTTATGAGAGCATGGGTGGGCGTATAGCGGTTTTATCTCTTTGAGATGAGAAAAAAAAAACATAATTAATCAAAAATTATATGTTTTTTCTTACGATATAGTGTTATTTAATAAACGCTACATGGCTGTGTAATAAACGCTGTAGGTGGGTGATAAACGCTGTAGATAGCTTATAACGCTGTAAATGGATAATAAAAATTGATTCAACATTAGATCGCAAATATAAAGCAGTAACTCCTGGCTGTTTATCGGGCTTACATTGTCGGGTAATGTAAACAATCATCACCTACATTGGTGATAATTGTTTACATTACATAATTGGTTACATCACCACCTTAATTAAGCAAGAAACAAGTCTTGTGAGCTATTTTCCTTAAAAATTAAAAAATAATTATATTAAAACATCGTTCTAAAAATAGTTGAAGAGCATTTGCCTTTGCTGTCACCCCAGTCCCTACGTTGCACTTGGATTGTGCAAACCAATAAATTTGATAAAATTTAATTGAAACCCGTTTTGACTTGAAACTTGAGTAGAGAATTTTTATATTTTGTAATAAAAAATCCTATTGAAATCTAGCTATTTTATCGGTAGAATTTTCCCATTTAATAATAATTCCGAACAAAACTTTTTTCTAACTGAATATAAAAAATAAAATAAAATAGGAAATAGACAAATAGGATTATTGTAGGTTTTGTTTCAGGAAAAAAAAAACGCATCCGTTAAACTCTCGTTGAAACTTATTCGGAATCTTGTTTGTATTGAAATAATCTCGCCAAACTAAAGTATTTTTTAAATATTTGTTAAATTTGTGAAAAAATTATCATTAAAGGGACAATAAGATTATCTAGAAGATGATAATAAAGGATTACAACAGGTGTAACCCATGTACACATTAAATAAAGAATTTTCTGACTTTTTGAATAAAAGTCTTTGGTATTGATGTACTGTGTGCCTTTTTGTTATATTTATTATGATTATATAGCAAGTATAAACAGATTGGAATTACTCTTATTTTGATATATATATATATATATATATATATATATATATATATATATATATATATATATATATATATATATACATATATATATATATATATATATATATATATATATATATATATATATATATATATATATATATATATATATATATATATATATATATATATATATATATATATATATTATATGGTATGTATTATAATAATGTTAAAGTAACAAATTCAATATTAAATTTTCACATTTAAGTATATTCCTATTTAATGAAATTACTTTAGCTATTTACTTGTTGGTATACATCAAAAAGTCATTATTATAAAAAAGATTTTTTTTCACAATATAGTTTTTTAATAACTTGTAGTCTTTAGATGCTTGACCATAAAATAAAATAGGCTAAAATCTATCATGTTTAATTGAAATATGGGCTCACTTGAAGATATTGATCTTTCTAATCTTAGGGTAAGTTTTTTTAGTTTTTGATCAATTTTTGTTTCATTCTTTGAAAAGTTTATTGTATCCATGTTATTAATTTGTAGGATTATAAAGTTATATATTAAATGTGCTTTCTATTTATTTCCTGCAGTTGAAAGTGTGTTTTCTATTTATTTCTTGCAGCTCCTTTTGATACTAATGTTTTCCACACTATTATCAAGAGTCAAGTTTATTTGTCAAAATATATATATATTTATAGCATAAATTGTCAAATAAAAAAAGCAAATTTATCTCAGTTTTTTACCTTTTGCTCCATATTTTGAAATTTTCATTCTTTTTTCTAAAGACTTATATACAAGCTAATATAGTAAAAAAAGCATATTAGCCTGTGAGTGTAAAATTTAAATGCACCAATAAGCATAAGGTCAAATCAGTGCATGGTTGAAAAAAACCTGTTCTATTTTAGAATGTAATTAATGCTGGAAATTGTTTTCCTATATTATAGTAATCTTGGTAAAGCTAAAAACACGACACATAGGAACAAAGACAATTTTCTAATAAAAAAAAACAGCCCTAGAAATAAACACAAAGCAAAGATTATTTAGACCAAAAAAAAGTTAAAACAAAATGCTTATATCATATATAAGCTGTACATAAAAAATTATTTTTTTCCAAATTATTTGTTTGTTTTTTCCTTTTTTTAGCATGGTTTGTGTTTGTTATCTATTTTATGTATGTTTTATGTTGTTTTAAAATCTTTTTTATATTTGTTATTGCTAATGGCTTAATGACACTTTCATAACAGTGAGGTCTGGTGTTGTTTCTTAAAATTCAATAAATTGATTATACTTTTTGAAATTATTTCACTATGCTTTACTGCTGTTTTTTTAATATAAAAGTTACAAATAATCTTTTAATAACTATAAAAACTTTTATTAGAATTTCATCACATCAAAATTTGATTAAAAGTTATGCAATATAAACATCAACATATAAACAAAAACATAATAAAAGATAGAAACATATGCTTTAAATTAAATTAGTGATGAAAATTAAATCATTATAAAAAATTTTAACACCAGGTAGAAAAAAAGAAATCGAAGGCAAGCGATCAATTTAACCAATTAACACATGGAATTTATGGCCAATTGTTTTTTAGGCAGTCAAAGTTTTTATTTTTTTATGTTTATCTTAGTAATAGTTTTTCATGACTCAGTTTTATATATACAAAAATAACATAATGCTTGAGAACTAACAAATTCTTATTCCTTTAAAAACAATAGTTTCAAATAAATTAGGTGCATTTTTTAAATGCAAATTTAAATAACTAAAATTCAAAATACCATTAATAGTTCAAAATAACTTGCGCGCACAGTAGTAAGTGACCGGAGTTGATATTTGACCGGGGCCAGGTTAAATAAAACTTAGCCAGCTGGGGCTGGGTTTATAACCAGGGCTGCATTAATATTGATAGACCATATAAATATACTATTTTTATTATTATTATCATCATCATCATCTTCATCTTCTCCTACTTTTGCTCCTAATTGGATCTCCAAGATAACAAAACTTACTAAAGCACTCTGTCTTTCCAGCACAATATCTGGGATGCCAAATCATCAGAATCAGAGAAAGAAGCTTAAATTTTTATAGAACGTCTTATTTCTTATTTGCTATTGTAAATTTTATGAATTATATTATGTTTGTATTAATTATTTTTTTGACTTATTCTTGGATTTTTTCAAACTTTCATAATAAATATTAACTTGAACAAAATTTAAAAAAAGAATTATGTTTAAAAAAAAAATCCAGTCCCAGCTAGTAACCCCTGCAAATTGTGTTTGGGCCGGGGCCAGGTTTGCAGAAAGCTCTGTTTTTAGCCGGGGCTGGGGCCCTGGTCACTTACTAGCGCACAGATTTTTATTCAAATAAAATAGGAAGTTTGATAATGTCCATATAATTAAATTTTATTCTAAATATTAAAACAATTTTTATAAAATAATAAAATTTAAACTGAATACTCAATACAAAAAGAAATCGTTTTGTTAAATGTTAATTTAATAGTTACTTATGTTACATTAAATGAATTTCAACTAAAAATGTATTTTTAAATATGTTTTTTGCCTGTTTCCTTAATTGATAGAAAAAAAATGTGCAATCACATTATTGATAATTTTTAACTTATTTTAAAAAATTTTATTCATTGCGATGATTTTGCAAGTAGCAGGAAAAGCTATGAGAAAAATAAATGAAATAATTGAGTTTTAAAAAAAAAAGTACCAGGGATGCGGAGTCCCAAAAGGACTCCAATTTTATATTTCTATTTTTCGCTGGTCTCTGGTGTCCTAAACATGTTGGTTGATTTATGATCTGCTATAAGAAAAAATCATAAAATTTTATGACTTGGAACTTATTGTTTTTAAGCCTGGAGTCTCAGAGTCGTTGCTGCTATTATCCCTAAGGACTCTAGTTTTAAATTGATTGTTCCTCTAACCTAAAAGTCTTAGTTTATTTTACCAGTAGTCCATAAGTTTTTTTTATGTTTTTTAAGCTCCTGGATATGAAATACTAGGAAGAGTTAATGTTTTTGTGACTTTTTGAGTCCTTTTTGGGACTCTGCATCCCTGCAAAGGTCAGTTGGATTAAAACATGTTCTTAGTTACAAACAACAATTTCAATAATAATAAAATAAGAACTTCAATCTTTGAAGTCAAAGTTATTAAAAAAATAATTTCATATTTTATATCATTGCTCATTAAAATCAATTTAAAAACTGCTGATGTTAATCACTTGATAATAATGTTATAAACTTGTAATTGATAATAATGTTGTAAACTCTCATCCGGAGATACTATTTAAACTAGCACTCCTCTTTGAAGCAATATTAAATCCCCTCACACTAAACACCAACCCCTGTTATAACATATTTTATGTTAATCTTAATAACGAGAGAAGAAGCCATCAATCGATTCAATCATACAATTGTATCGTTTAATAAAAGTATCAAAATCAATAAAGAATACATTCGCTTTATAAAACACTAATATAAAAATTACTTATGTTACATGAATATTTACTAAACATCTATATATTTTTTTAAAACCTATTACAAAAAATAAAAGTGCAAACATGTAAATAGTAATTTTAAATTTATCTATAAACCGTATAAACCCAGCTGGCATTTGGCTCTAAAATGACATTTTTTTATATCTTGATTATTTGTCAAAACTTTTTTTTCAAAACTCTATTGTATTTCAGTCGTTGACTGTTGTCTAGCTGTTATTTTCCATGCTGTAACTAGACAATAAAAATCAAAATGTAGTAATAAAGACATATTTTTTTCCTTTTCTTATCCAAAAAGTTCTCTTTAACTTAAACCATGCCCAAAATAACCAAAAATGTTAAACATAATTGTCACCACCACCTAATTGTTTCGATATTTCCTTAACAAATATTTCAGGTCTTTAAAATAAATTTCCATCAGTTATATCTTTATATAAATTCACCAGATTTGTTTGCTCTATGTGAGACTAATTTAAATTTGGTTGTTTCTTCTTTGGATCTCAGTATTGATGGCTTCTATCCTTTTTATTCACAAAGACTTTAATAGTCGTATGCTTGGCTTAGGCATATACTTGCGTATCAATTTATCTATTTGTTGAGAAATCAGTTTTGTATCCTCTTGTTGTTACCTCAAAAGTTATTCTCTAGAGACTTACTGAAAATCTTTCAAATCAAGCTCAAACATTCCATCTCTAATTATCTCTTCCAAGAATAATAATCTTATTATCTCTTCCAAGAATAATGCAGAACTATTTGCAAAGAATTTTTTATCTAATTTGACTAATAAATCTAATGGCCATAATCTTCCTGTTATTCTAGTTAAACAAGTTCTCACATTGTTGGACATCCACATCACTCCGGATTTTTTTGTCAAAGTCATTTTTTAATTAAACTTTTCTATGGCTTGTGGTCCAGAAAACATTCTTATCATAGTTTTGTATTCTCCAGAACTTGCTTAAATTATATCCTAACTATTCAATAAGTGCTAACTAAATCTATTTTCCTGCCTGCTGGAAAATGGCATCTGTGGTTCCAATTTTTGAAAAACTCTTGAGAACCTTCAGACTCCTGAAGCTATTACCTGATCAGTCTTAAATCAACAAATTTCTGACATCCTATTTTGAATATAATATATTACTCTCGAGCATTAAATGTTGTTTTCTATCTTCTTGTTCTACGGCTGACTTGCTAACTGCTTTAACTGAAAGATTCTGTAGTGCATTAAATAAGAGTAGTGAACAAGAGCTGTTGATACATCAAAAGCCTTTGATAAAGTTTAACATGCTCATCTTCACTACAAATTTACTTCATACGGTATATCATATTGGAAAAGTTTTTTGAGTATTAAAGTCATCCTTAATGACCTTAATTTGTTGTCTTCAATACTTTATTTGCCAAGCTAGAGCCTCTCTCCCGTTGTTGTAAGGTTTCTCTTTTTATCATCTTTAGCTCCATCAATCAAAACTCCTTCTTGCTTGACTTGTCATTCAACAAAGGTCCTTTTATACTCCTTTGTGCTGCATGCTCTAAAATATTTTATTAGTCAAGTTTTTTTCCTTTCAAAGTGTGAGAAAAATGATTGATTGCAGACAAATTATAAATCAAATCATAAACAAAAAATTATTTAAGCTATGTCGATAAAAGCTGCAAGAAAAATAAAACACATGATAAATATATTCAAAAATAAGTTTTGCAACCTTGAGGAAAGCATTATTAATTTTTCCTTTTAAAGTCACACATCTACAGTTGTGTCTCATAAATACAGTTCAATATTATACTACATAAATTATCAAGTGGGTAATTATGAAACTAGATAAATACCATGGTATTTTGATTGAATAAAGAATATTTTTAAAAGTTCAAAATTTACCTATTTTTAATTAAACTTTAGTGGTTTCACTGGTCAATTTTTTTGATAAATTTTGAACCAGTAAGTTTACATAAGTATATAATATTAAAATTTTTATTCCAAAAATAGGAGCCTGCTGCGTATTTTGATTTAATTGAAGTAGTTGGAAATGGTACATATGGACAAGTTCATAAAGGGCGTCATCGGAGAACAGGGCAGTTAGCAGCTATTAAAATAATGAGTGTTAATGAAGAAGAAGAAGAAGACATAAAACTTGAAATTAATGTTCTACGAAAGTATTCAAATCATGTTAACATTGCACGATATTATGGTGCCTTTATTAAAAAAGGTGCACCTAATGCTCAAGAAGATCAACTGTGGGTAAATCCTGTTTAATTTTTACTGTTGAATATTAAATTTAAAACAATAAAAACTATTAGTAATAAGTTATTCAGGTTAATCGTTCATTCATATATGAATTCTTTATTAAAGAACAATTAAATATTTTCAGATATAAATGTTCAATTTTTTTTTTTAGTACATTAGTAACTAAGTTCTTTTTACTTACATTTTTTTAATTCTTCTTATATCCTGTTGGTAATTAGAGATTAAAAAAAAACATTTTCACTATAATGAGTGGTGCTATGAAATTTTTAAAAAATATATCCTTTAGCACCACTCTATTTTTTTCTCTTTGTTCTTTTTCATTCACCATCCTTTTAAGAATCTTCTTCTTTTAATATTTTTTCTGTTACATTTAATTAAGCTCTATCTCTTTCCCAATCTGTTTATACTTTTTTTTTGTATGTGTCTTTATCACTCATCACACTAAATGTCTAAGGTTTACTATCGAATATCTACTTAACACTTCACTCTATTACTGTTATAGTACCATATAGTGCCATTTTATTTTACCATACTTTTTGTATATCCAATGTTGTTTAAATTTTGAACAAACATGTTTTTGCCTTGACTTAAAATGATGTTTTGTTGAATGTTTGTATGTCATCTCAGAAGTTATGCTCTCTTCATTATGGGAAAATTTTTAACAAATAAAAATTTTGTATTCCTTTTTTTCTTTTTCTTTTTTTTTGAATTTGCATAATTCAGATATTAATAAGAAACTAAAAGATAATAAAATTATTATTATGTCATTGTAATAAATTTCTTTAAGCTTTTTATGACAACATCTTTATATACCATTTAAATAACTTTGTAGTTGGTTATGGAGTTTTGTGGAGCTGGATCTGTAACAGATCTTGTCAAAGGTATATAATACTATTCATTTTTAAAAGGAAAATAACTCTTTTAACTTATATATTTATTTTATAATTGTTGTTTAGTCATTTATTTTTTTACTAATTCATTTCATTAATATAATAATTTTAATTTTGTGTTTTACATATTTTTATAGCTACAAAATCAAGATCTCTTAAAGAAGACTGGATTGGCTATATATGTAGAGAGGTTCTAAATGTAAGTAACATCAATTGTGGTTTCAACTATGCTATTGAAATAAGTTACAACTTAATTTTTTAATGTAAAATTTATTTTTTTATATATTATTTGTTCAACAGGGGTGTAGAACTCTTGCTTAAAGGCTCTAAACTCTAGAACTTTAGTTTTCTAGAAGACTGGTCCATTAGGTTGGGTTCAAATTTTTGATATATCTTATTAATCAGATCTCCACTCATCAGATCCACCACAGATCTAGTTCGATTCCCACAACATCTCTGGTAGTACTGCACTCAACTTGTTTCTCCACGCAGCGGCCTTGTTTGTCAAGGTTTGTGTTTCCGAGTTATAAAGTTGAGAGAGGATTGTAACCACAACTAAAGTTGCCTCCTCAACTGTAGTGGCCTTCATGGCCTCAAGGAGGTTAATTGAAATAAAAAAAATCTGCTTTTTGATATTTAGTATTAGTTTTATAATTAGAATTTTAGATTTACAGGAAGATGAATCACAGGTAGGTAAGTTTAATAAAAAAAAATTTAAATATTAAAGCTGTGATTTCTCAATGCCCAAACATGAAAGTAATTTCGTAAACAAACATGTGAACAAGCTAGTTTCATATAAAACATAGTATATTGGATTAATAACATTTTATTTGGTTTTGAACATGTTTTGAGTTGAAGCTGTGTTTAGCAAAACAGTTTTACACATATGATTTAAGGCAATACTATATTTTTAGTTACATTTTTATATGTTTAAAGTATCATTGTTTTGTTTATGTATGTACTGTATAATACTACTTCAGGTTGGTAATAGTGTTTTTAAAAAATAAATTAAAAAAATAGTGTCATTAAAAAAAAAAACTTAGAAGCTGTTTAAATTAAAATTTAAATTAATTTATTGTAAATCTGGTATAATAATATTTTAATTATATTGTATATATAAAGTTTTATTGAAATGATTTAAAACCATTGTAAAGTTCTTTTTGGCGTTTGCGTTAATGCCTTTTCTTGTTTTGTTTTTCTTCCTGGTAAATTTTATTATGTATATTTGCAGTAAAAACTGGTAATCATTACTGTGTCAAAAATAACACTATTTATTTTGTAAAGATGTTTAAAATATTTTCAGGGGGTCAATCATCTCCATCACAATCATGTAATCCATAGAGATATTAAAGGTCAAAATATACTTCTTACGGAGAATGCAGAAGTTAAATTAGGTATTTTTTTTCATACTTTGTTTAGTTGCATAATTTCTATCAATTTTTATTTTATTAAAACATATATGCTATTTGTTTACTTATTTATTTAGAACTTAAATAATTTATTACAGGTTATTATGGTTTTTATGATAGATTAGAGCAGATCGGTTAAAGTATGATAGACTAGAGCAGTTCAATTTAACTAAGAACAGTCAAAATATGATAGATTAGAGCAGGTCAATTTAACGGTTAAAATGAGATTGAAAAACTCTTAAAACCTAAAAAAATTTTGATTTTGTAAATTTAGTTGTAATTATGGTGTTATGCAAAAAAAACCTCAAAAATGCAAAATAAAATAAAATATTTATTTTTTAATTAAGTTATATTTAATTGGCAACCACAGAGAAGATAAGTAGCAAAGAAGATAAGTAGCAAAACAGTGCACAGAAAACTCTAAGTTATATGAATCAATAAATATAAACTTTGTCAATTAATTAGTTTTTTAATACATTAAAGGACAGTTATAGTAAAAGAATGCATCTTTGTCAAATAGAAGAATTGCACAAGAATGTGTTTTGGTAGATGGAACAAGACAAAACAGCTCACTTTAGCAGTGACATTGGTAGTATTTGTAGAAAAGAGAATAGCAATGTAACAGAGACTGAACATTGTAAGTTAAAATATAGCACTGTAACAGAAGCTGAGCTTTGTAAAAATAAAAATAGCCTTGTAACATAGTCTGAGCCTTGTAATAAAGAGAATAGTGATGTAACAGAGTCTGGGCCTTGTCGAAAAGAGAAAAGTGATAAAACAGATGCTGAAGCTTGGCTATTAGAGCAATTCAAACTACAATTGCAATTGTAATTAATGTTGCAAGAAGTAATTAATGTTATAAAAATAACTTAAATGTAAAAAAGCTTGTTGCAAAAGTTTGAATGACAATTGCATTCAATATTTACAAATGGAATAAATTCTGATAAAATTAAAAACAAAGAAAATTTAATTTTTATTTAAATTTTATTTTGAAATATTACTAAATATTGTTTAATAATAAAATTTTTCTTAATAAAAAAAAATAGCTTATTTACACCACAGTTGTTTTTCATTTTTTTGTTAATAAAAATTAATTAAATGCTGTAGTGGTATAGTGGTAGAGCACTCACTTTATTTTGTTCTTAATATAATTTATTCTGCATGTATCATTTTTATCTTGTATCTTGTATAAAAATTGTTATCGTATTATAAATTTATTTCTCGTATATCGTAATATAATTTTTTATATTGCAGTATCATTATATCGTAATATAAATTTTTCAAGTTAATAATATAATTATATTTAACGTATGCTATACCTTACGATCTACTTACAAAAAACAACAAAACAATATGGTTAAAAAAATTGATCCCAACGGCTATTTTGCTGTCAAAAATATAGCACCATTAGTTGCCCACCTTGATATCTGGATAATGGAACTCATGAAAATCATCTTGAAACAGAAAGTAACTATAAACTTGCAAGCTAATTTAATAAAAAAACTTGAACAAAAAGTAAGAATTATAGAAAAATAACCTCAACACCCAGTTAGTCAACCAAGCAAGTTCAAACGGCCCATCCTGGAGTAGTATCGTCAGAAAAATGGCTAATTCAACATCACAAATCGGTCAAGTTCTAGTCGAACTAAAGCAAGCAGCAAAATACGAAAAAATATAGTAATATTTGGTGTCCCTGAACAAGTTTATGCAGCTGATGCTGTCCAAGCATCACCAACAGCGTTACACTGCATCACCGAAGTTCTAACAGTACTAGACCTCACCAATAAAAATGTTAGCTTCTCTAGGCATCTCAACACAAAAAAACCATCTAATAGTTGGCCTATTGTAGTAGAATTTAAGGAACCTAAACTCGCAACACATGATTTATTCAAGAAATACATAATTAGTGCTGACTTGTCACCAGCTGAAAGAGAACTTGAGTATCAACTATGCAAACACCGCAACACACCTAATGATAAACTATAATAATAAAAAGTATTCAGATAAAACAGAAGAAATAAAAATAACCTTTGACTCCCTACCTAACTCAATACCTAAACAAGAAGTTGAACCAACTATTGCTCGTGCATACCCAAAGCAACTGCCTCGAGGATACTCATCCTGTATAATAGTTTGCGCTTATATCCCGGTCTGGTCTAAAAGTATGCAACGCATCATACCAACTTGCAAAACTCATCGAACCAGCAATAAATTGCTGCACAATCAGAAACAAACCACTTATAATTCTTGCAGGAGATATAAATTGTTGCCCAACTGACGTTATTTGCCGTTCACACTAACTAAATCACCTTAATGCACAACATACCCGGAAGTCAGCAACCCTTGACATTATTTTAAGTAACGCTCCAAAAAATTATGTTTCCAATACCTTCCCTAGCTTCGGAAACTCAGATCACCTCATTGTAGTTAATCAGCCACCACTTAATCTCTATAAAGTCACTCACCCTGCTCCTTGAAAGATTGTACATTGGTCAGGAAAAATTGCTGAAAAAGTTGCATTAATACGCTGTACTGATCTTGAAACCTTGGTTGACTCACCATATGAAATACAAAACGCTTGCAACAACTTTTCATTCCTAACTCTCTGCTCAAGACATCTGCCAACCACTAAGAACAATAACACTTATTAATCCCAAGCCTTGGATGACTCCGTTCATTCAGAGCCACATAAAAGAATGTCAGCGACTTTTTATTTGGTCATTACAACGAATGGAAAACACTAGCAAAGCAAGTCAGCAAACTAATAATAAAAAGAAAACATATTTATAACAGATGCCTTTCCCCCAGAAATACAGATTTTTAGCGAGAAATTAAGCTCGCCAATAAAGGACAAATCCCTGATTCTATCACTGAGACATTAGCAAACAAGCTAAATCATCACTTCCAAAGTGTTAGGAACAATCAGAAACAACCTAATCTATCTCTTTTTATCAACCGGCAAGCAGACCCGCATACTACCCCTATTTTCACCTATAGTAACATTCTCAACCAACTTAATAAACTAAAAACAGGATCGTGTGGTCCAGATGATATCTCACCACTGTTACTCAAATCCTCCCGCTTAGAAATTGCCCCATCACTTTGTATCTTATTTAACTGCCTCATAGAAAACAGTTTTCTCCATGATCAATGGAAATCAGAGAACATAACACCAATTCCTAAAACCAAAAACCCACTCTCATCTAATGATTATCGTCCCATCGCCATTACATCCTCATTATGCAATTTTTTTGAATGCATTATTGTCAAATTTATTGTCCATCACACTAAGCACATCTGGGTCTCAAACAAACAGTTCGGTTTCCTCCTAGGTAGAAGTACAATGGATGCCATTATTCAAGTTATAGAAGACTAGTGTCACGCAAAAAACTATCACAAATCCATCTTTCCAATATTTTTTGATTTTACAAAAGCGTTTGACCTTGTCGACCACGAAAAAACTACTACTGAAGTTAATAAATATTCTACCAAGCTGGCTTATATCCTGGATTGCAGTTTATTTATCTAACAGACACCAAAGAGTGAAAACAAATTATCACACCACTAATTGGAAACATATTCAAGCCGAAGTACTTCAGGGTAGTGGCTTGGGCCCTATCTTGTTCATTCTTTTTATCTCGGACATAAACATCTATCTTCCAGCCGAAACCATACTAGGAAGATATGCTGATGACATCCTGACCTACATTATCTACGATAAAGCTCTTGCCAACTTACCTCAATCTATCATGATATATAGTACTCCAGTTTATACTTCATGCAGTATTGCGGCAAAGAGATTCAACATTTTTATAAAAATGCGTTGTATATCATTGGTATTTGCAAACCAATTCTAGCTGCTTTAATATTTGTTTTAACATTGAAGAATTATTAGAAAAAGCATGTTTTATTATCCTCAAAAAGATCCTTAATGACACATACCATCCAATAACCAATAAACTAGCCCGCACTAATAGTAGATACCCTGATAGATTTCCCTTTGCTCCTAATAACACTAACACAACAACTTACCAACAATCCTTCATTCAAAAATACCTTCGTATTCTATGTGATGGTGTCAGTGATTTTTACCTGCTACGCAACATTGGCAGCTCAACTGCATTTTCAACACACAAGTAATCTGTTTAATAAACAATTTTTATTTGCCTATGCTCTAGTACTGCTACACTTCTTACATTTTTAGCAATAGAGAAAATAGTACAATTCGTTATTTGTAATGCTAATCAATTTTAAATAAAGATTTATATTAAAAAAATTTAAAAATTAAATAGTTGAAAACTTGTGTAAAATTATTTCAATAAACAAAATATAGATCCTGAAATATGGCAACTATTAAAAATAAAAAAAAAGCTGACTAGAAATAGTAAATCAGTTGTGACTGGAATCTTTGGAAGAATTTTTTTTTTCATGCAACCTACTATTTTCTTATTAAAGTATAAAAAACACTTTATTCTAGCTTTTGTGTTAAGTCCTTGAGTGGATGTAGAGGTTGAGTTGACCTTTTGGTGCAATAAAACTTGTTGCCTTTTACATATCGCTTTGGTATGCATGTTTGACATGCAGCTGAAGCTTTATTGATGTTAAATGGAAACTTATAGGTATTTTGAAATCCAGAAACTATTTGTGTGCATGTAAAAATGTCAACAGAGCTGAAAATTTTTCCTTAAATGTAACTAGAGTATTCTTTTGATAAATTGCTGAACTTTGCCTTAGCATAAAATTATTGAATTTGATTCAAACTCTTTTGAAATTAATAGACACGAACATCCATAGGCTGCAGAATGTCTGATGAATGAGCTAGTAATCAAGTTAATAAAATATTTTGATGCAAATAAGTATGATCTGATAGAAAACATGTGTCAAATTTCCACTAAAAAATGAGTACCTATGTTGTATTATCATTTATACCAGTTTTTGCACAGACAATATTAGATAAAATTATGACATTATTATAAGTCAGTCTA